ACCAGTTGGAAGAAATTTGTTGGATCATCCAAATGTTATTTATATCGCCAAGTCAAATCCAAACGCAATTCACCATTGGAGTAGTGGATCAGAAGTTGGGATAATACATAAAGCTAACGTTGAAGGAAAGATTCCTTGCAAGGAAGACTTTTTTGACGAGAATCCTGATATTCAAATAATTGGTATGTTTTGTATAAATATGAAAATTTATAGAATTTATAGAACTATTTTTTATTTACTATATATTATGTAAATAGCGTTACCGCTCCGACCCGGTTTTGTGGAAGGATTTGTAGATGATGGAATTGTTTTATTACCTATTCTTAACATCCCATCAAGCGTTGGTTATATAGAACTTAATAGCAATAATCCATTCGATCAACCAAAAATACATTTAAATTATTTTGAAAAATCCGAAGACTTATACAGAATGATTAGTTCACTTAAGTTGTGTCGTGAATTACTTAAGCAACCACCATTGAGTACTGTTTATAATGTTAATGAAATTGAGATTAATGAACGGAGTACCAACGGGGATGATATTAGCGATGAAGATTGGGAAAAGTTTGTTTTGGAGATGGTACGTACCTTTTATTACACTACAACTATGTATGAATAAGATGTCATTCTTATCATTCTTATTATCGCTATTTCATTTATGCTTAGTCAACTACAACATTCCATCCAAGTGGAACAGTAAAATCGGCACCAGAATCTAAAGATGGAGTAGTAAATCATCGACTTCAAGTTTATGGTACGAAAAATCTTCGAGTCGTTGACGCTTCGGTATTTCCATATATTCCAAGTGGAAATACAAATGCACCTACAGCTATGGTTGCCTGGAAAGCTAGTCGGTTAATTATTGAGGATTACATGAAAAAAAATTAAATGAATTTTTCGTTCTTCATTATATAAAATAAATAGTTTATTAGTTTGTAAAATTATATATATTGGATTAACGTTAAAATCCGGTTGACTGATTAAAGATAGTGTAAACTATTATCGTTATATAAATGTATATCAAATAAATATTTCAGTTCGGATAAACTGATTTTAACCAAGCTTTGTATGTGAATCAGAAAAGCAAGTATATTGAATTTTCTGATATTTTTTTAGTAGATGTACTGTACACGTACATATCTGATACGATTTCTTTGGCTTTTTATCACCGGCGCAAATAAATAATCCGTTAGTCAGTTAAATAGGAAAGCTTAATACTACTAATCCACTAAAAAAAAAACTTTAAAGATCTAAACTGAATATTAAGTCAGTGGAAAGTAATTTGC